TTAATACTTAATTTTAAAAGAAAAAAAAAAGAAAAAAACAAGAAAAAAAAAGAAAAGAAACAGAAGAAGAAAAGAAATCTTATACTCATTGCAACGAAGAAAAAAATATAAACGGAATGGATAATATTTGACATAATTTTTTTTAAATTAATAAGTAATCGCTACATTATTGAAAATGTCTTGAAGGAATTTATTATATAATCGAAAAAAGAGAAAAAAGATAGATATACGTATATCGAAAAGTAAGATAAGTTCGTGAGGGGCGATGGACGAACGAAGAGAGGCAAACGCTTCTTCCTCGTAGCACACGTCGTCACACCTGACGTCACATACTAGTTAGGGTGCAGATGGCCCCCCTCTCAAGCGTGACGTTAGGCCCCTACGATAGGGTACCTGGCGGCGTCTAGCAATATGCTTCTTTCCCTTCCCTTTTCTCCCCTTGCCACTTCTTTGCTCTCTTTCTTTTCTTTTCTTTTTTTCTCTCTCGCGTGCACACTTGGAGGGCACATAAGGTAAGGCAAAATAAAACTTGTACCAAGGGGGCTCTCCTTTCCTAACTCGCACACAGCCGCAGCTGCTCAGGTAGCACGAGCTACTTCCACATTTACGACGATGGAACTCGTTTGAGAGTATCGTGGGGTGCTACGATGGCCCCATTGAAATTCCAACCAACCTAGACTTATTACCACGCTTCGAGAGTTCCTTCGATAGTGTGTACTAGCGCACGCAAGCAAGAATATCACCTTAATTTATAACTAATTATACCCTCGATACTTATATCGATTTTTTTCGAGTTACTTCATAAGAATATTTATTGTCAAACTTTATTATTGTGATAGCGTACTCGATTTGGTAGATAACAAAAAAGATACAAACGAATCGATTGGATTTCTTTTTTCTTTTTTTAACTTAAGTACTTCGATGTTTCTTCCATTCTTCCTTTTTATTTATCTTTTCTCCTTTGTTTTTCTTTTCATTATATTTTTCACGCAGAATTTCTTCCTATTGATCATCAGGCAACACTTAGTCGCCGAACTTGTTTTAACGAATCAATACTTCAATATAACGAACGTTTTATCGAGCCTGACATTTTTTTTTGTTGTTTTTTTTTTTTGTTTTATTTTTGTTTTTTTCTTTTTTCTTCATGATGAAGCCACGAAAAATCGGACAAACAATCGTTGTGGTTTTTAACGAACACGAGAAAAATCACGGTAGACGTTTAAGTATTTAATCTCCAATCGATAGGAACGATGATGGATTTGTGAGGTGCGAAAGGAGTATGATCGTAAAGCTGCATCAAATTGCTTCAATAAAATTGCAATTCGATCGTTATAATAACGGATGTTATAATGGATATAACGATCGTAAATTAGGAATGACCGATTTTGAAGGAGAGGAGAGGAGAAAGGAGAGGAGGATTTGTTGAAAAGCGAGAGGACGATTTGTATTGTCGTGTTTAGAACGCTCATTTCCTTCTAATTCTTTGATTTGATTAAAACGTTATGGCAAACGGTTGATTCTCGATTTGATTCTATTAACTAGTTAAGATTTGTATTGGTATCGTAGGCATTAGAAGGATCATTAACAAATAAGAAAATCTTTTTTGGGAGAAATCTTTTAAGGAGAATCATCAATAGTGAAGATACAACGATAATATCATTTTCCTCTTTGAGGACCCCCGACCGTGCACAAAGAACCCTCAAAATATCTGACTGGTATCCCAATTCTAATTGCGGGCAAAAAGTTTTCTGAAGATTTACAAGGCGATAAATGAGCCTCGTGGTTCGACCGTATTGTCCGATATGTTATTCTCAATACAAAGTGGTCAAAACCTTCTTAGATATGTTCTAAACATTTCGATAATGAGAGGACGGTCGCTCCTTTCTACAGTAAACGACTCGAAAGAGCTATTTGTCGACGCTCGTAAATCTGTCCTGTTAATTCTCAGCATGAGACTTCCGGTTCTTCCGCTTGGGCGTTTACGTGGGCGTTTCGTGTTGTAAACACAATGTCTCAGCCGTAAAACCAGTTTTCCTCGGAGTCTACATCTACTGTATATATTGCATAGATTTTCTCGTTTACGCGTTGCTCCTTGGCAGCCGGCTGAACTTTTACAGAACTTAAATTTCACACACCTGGATGAGCTCTCCCTTTACTCGTAATTGGGTCCCTACGTTAAGAAAAAATTCGCTACTAATTCTAACGGGAAAATATTATCGAGCAATTTACTCGAGTCCTTTTCCTCTTTTTTTTTTTTTCTTTTTTTTTTTTTTTCTTTACGATCGAATTGGAAAAGACGAGCCGTTACTTCTGACAACAGTTACCAATTTGAGATCGAACAGAGCCAACAGATTGCTGCCTTCTATCCACGATATATCCGGCCCCAATTTTGAGAGTCTCGTGTCTAACGGGAGATTAATAGTATTAATAACGAACGGTCGGAGTTTAAGAACCGTTGAGGAGCGAAAAAGCGGCATTAACGTCGCCTTTCGGCCGATCCCGTACAATGACTTCGAAACATATGTCGAACGAACGTGCTCGGCTTTTTCCCTTTTTTTTTTTCTTTCTTCATTCTTTCCCTCCTCCCACTTTCGCTCTATTTCGACGCTCCGCATCGTGATGCGTTATTAACGGACCTTGAGAGAAAAATTTTACAAGATAGATGAGGGAGAGAAAGGGAAATAGATAAAGAGAGAATTCGTTTTCACATATGAAAGTAATTCGTACGAGAAGACACGTGGGTGGAAGTAGGATAAGGAAGGAAGTAAGGTAGGTCGGGCCATCTGGTTCTCCTTTCGTTCTTCTTTTCTGGTCGAGGGTCTTTTAAATCCACCAGAGACATGCACCTTGAGACCTGTCTAGGCCAAGGACCCTTGAACGTAAGGGGCCCTTTAAAAATCGACCCTGCAAAACGAAGACATTGAGAACGATCTCCGGGTCCTCACCTTACAACCCTCCTGGCCCAAACCATCGTCCTTGAGAATAACCATCGTAAGCGATTCCATATTATATTAGAATTATCATACTACTTTATGAATTACTAACAATATCTAATATTATATCATCTATCTCGCGATTATTAATAAATACGTCGATTTCTAATAATTATAAAAGACTGATAAAAATTTCACGATAATTTATCTTTGGATAAACGAGATTACGTCTTTAATAGTTTTGAGCTATTTTTGTATATTTGTAATAATGCTTCCCGATTTAGAATTATTCTTTTATTTTCATTTATTTCCTCCTGCATAAATGAGCTTTGATAAATGGCTTTAAGCTTAGAAACAAAATTAGAAATATTTCTTTTTAATTTCTATAAGAACGATATAGCACACGTATGCACGCCCACGTACGCATACTCTCATACAAATAGGAAAGAAGAGAATCTTCTGGGATAGAATTGGAAAGACAGAAATTTATCGTGTTGAGTATCTTCATCACTCTCTCTCTCTCTCTCTCTCTCTTTCCCTCTCTCTCTCTCTCTCTCTCTCTCTCTCTCTCTTTCTCTCTCACGTTGCAATGGCAAGTTCGTCGCGTACGAGGATCTATTAACGTTACATCTGCAAACGTAGCGCGAGCGGGTTCCCGATGTGTTTGCACGGGAGATCAACGTATTGTTGACGATCGACCGACAAAGCCAAATTAATTTGCAAATCGTTCGCGGTTCGACGACGTTCGAGGGGTTTGTCTGTCCTTCTCTTGCCGATCTTCTCTCTCTCTCTCTCTCTCTATCTATCTCTCTCTCACGAACTAACCCTAACGCGTACTTAGGTACATCCATATACACATACATACATACGTTTACGTTCGTATACTAAGCCTCCTTTATCCATCCGTACGTACACACGTACTACGTGAAAGAGAAGAAAAGAAGAGAAGAAATCGGAGTAGGTAGGAGAAAGTGCCGGTAGGAGAAAGACGAGGATAGGAAACACTGTCTTCGAATGCATATCGGAAGATTAAAAAAAACTGCAACTCTAGATGGTGCAGCGTCAAGCATTTTTGACCCGTATTTCTCCCGCGATTCTCCGACTCTCCCCACCCAACGCCACTTTTGTCTTCTTATACACAACGAAAAGAAGAGAGAGAGAGAGAGAGAGAGAGAGAGAGAGAGAGAGAGAGAGTGCGAGAGAAGAACTGCAATACACGGAAGTAAGCGAGCAAGCATGTATGTATCGCGCAAACGTCCCGGCTACTACGCGTACGTGCACTTTTGTCCTACGTCACGCGTATTCAATAGCAGTAGTAGCAACAGCAGCAACGAAGAATTGTAGAAGAGAAGGAGAATCTCGGTGTTGAGGTGCTTCTCTCGATCGAAGGTACGAGACGAGGAGTACAGGGAGTTTCCGACGAGTTGTGTAAATGCGAGAAAGAGAGAGAGAGAGAGAGAGAGAGAGGGAGAAAGAAAGAGGTCGACTCGCTCGAGGTCTCGTGGGGGGACGAGCCGTGACAGTGAGACTTTTATTAGGGAAGGAATCAGCAAGCATGATTATGTACCTTAGAGCATCTCCACCTCGCCGATCACCCTTCACTACCATAGCAAACTGACTACTACTACCCTCTACGATTGACGAGAACGACGACGACGACGGCAGCAGTCATCCTTCTCATTCTCCTCCTCATCCTCCTTCTACCAAGCTCAGACCCACCCTCCCGCCCCTCGAGCTGCATTGTCAACCTCCTTCCTTCCCCTTTTACCGCGCATATATGTATGCATTGGCGTAGCTTCCTGAGAAATCGACGACTGTCTACAATGGCGGCCTCCTCGTGAGATTTCTACGTCCATAAGTAATTTGATCTTATGTAAGATTTTCAATTGATATTTTCTGATATTTTTATTCTCTGTTTTCAAGGAGAGTAATGTGCCGTTTTTACGTACTATTTCATATCTCTCGATACTTTTATCAATGTCAAAGGTTTCTCTTCTTATGATAGAAAAAAGATCGATCGTTCGTAGAGAGATCATTTCCTTCTTAAGGAATGAATTAATTACTTACGGTGAACGTTGTCGTGGCGGTGTGAAAGATGTTGTCCCCTGAAACAGAACAGATAAAATTATTATTATTTCAAGGATATATGATGGATAAATTCTTTCGTATATTTTTCTTCTTAAGAATATCCTAAGAAATATCTTTTGATATATTAAGATAATTTTTGTCTTAAATATTAAAAATCTATATTAATCATACGATGATAATAATTGTAAAGATTGAACGGTAGATTCAGAAAGTGACGTTCTTTCCCTCGATAAAAATTCGTCTTCGCCGAATAGAAATTTTGAAAATGAGAGACCAAGGTGGAGGAGACGTCCGCCACGAAATTTGCATCTCTGCTTCGCCAATGCCGCTCAAGGCGATATTGTCGTTCACAATGAAACCACCCCCCAAAGCTTTCCACCACCCCCGACACATGCTCCCTCAGACAACGCACATGCAACGGACGCGTGTCGCGTTCGAACTTTCGCCTCGAACCAGATACTACGCACGAAACTTCGCGAATCTATCGTGCGATTGTATCGGGCGATACAAAAAGAATGAAAAAGAAAAAGGAAATAAAAAAAAAAAAGAAGGAATGTTTTGCTTCTTCATCACGGTCGAGAAAACGTGAATTCCGGAGACTCGTTTCGCTCGAGCGAAGGAAAATAATCTAAAGTGAACGAACGTTTTCAAATTCTGTAGTATTTTTATTTTTTCAAATAGTTTTATGCATGAAATGCAACATTAAATTGCATGCACGATATACTACGATACAATGAAACGTAGAAATTATTGTATAATATCGCGAATATTACGAACATTCGTTTCATTTCACATTAATCGATATCCGATAAAAACGTAACGGCGTAAATTTAGATATATCACGAAGGATATCGCCGAATCGTTCACGAAATAAACAAGAAAGAATTGTATGCCGTATCGATTATCGATTACATAACGTCCTTTCTCAAACCGTCTTCTAGCACATTCTATTCGAGGACTAGTGTTCGAACGATCTCATTAATAAATTGAATCAGCGTCGACACTGATGTTAATGAACCCGTAATTATCGAACAAAATTAAGATCATGATTTTACGTGATTTTCAGATAAAAAGAATTCTCTTATATATCCCATTTATGTTGTTTGTCTGTATTTAAAGTTTTTTATCATTTGAATGTTAAGAAAAGAGAAAAAAAAATCTTCCGTACGATTAGACATCTTACGAGTAAAATATAACATATTCAATTAATAAAGAATATCTGAACATTTGTGATATTGATTTGTAACAGAAATGGAAATTTATTCTTAAGAAAAGGAGAGACTCCAAAAGATAGGATCATATAGTAGGAATATCGAACAATGGAATACGGCTGGCAACTGGAAATTTCGTGAGACGCGTCTCAAGAACAATTCTACATCTACTCGAAGCTATATTGTCTCGATTAAGGATGCACGGAGTAGCGATATAGGGCTGGCGAAAGGGGCAGTACGGTACTAGCAAGCGAAGGAGGTCGGAGGTGCTAGGTGCTACGCTTCGACGCCAGTATCTCAGACAGTTCTGGCCGGCAAGACTTAACAAATAGGCAAAGTTTTGGATGCCGGAGCCGGTGGATTCTCCGCTACTGCGGCAACGACATCCTCTGTCTCTCTCTCTCTCTCTCTCTCTCTCTCTCTTCTCTCTCTCTCTCCTCTTTGTTTCTAAGTTTATGATGTATTAGCCGTGCTCCGTCTCCCTCATTCCCTCTTTCTTCATCTCCCGTATCCAGCCCCTCTACTCTCTGTCCTTCTCAATCTCTCTCTCTCTCTCTTTTTCTTTCTCTTCTTCTCCCTCCCTCTCTCTCTCTCTCTCTCTCTCTCTCTCTCTCTCTGGTTCTCTCTCTTTCTCTTTCTCTCTCTATCCTTCTGTCCTAGAGAACGCGCTTGTCTCGCGCTTTTGAGTTGACCAATTTATACGCGACGTAGCTTTAAGATACAACGACCATCCGAGCGAATTAACGACGTAACGTTCTCCTAACAGGAGTGATTAAAGCCTGGGGAGCGCGACCTTGCGTTCTCGGGAGATACTCTCGCAAAGTGGATGCTGTTAAGTCTCTTGAAACGTGGTTAAATAATATATATCGACGATCGACAATTATATCATTTATGTATTCACCTATTAAAATGTTCTTATTGTTCTAGAAAATTGTAATTGAGGATAAATATATTTTTAATGAATTTAATATGCAATCGATATAATTTAATCGTTAAAAAATCGTTTATCGATATCGTTTATATAAAACCGTTCGTTCATTCGTTTTAAGAAAATAAGTATGATTATCGATAAAATAAAGAAAGAGAAACGGGATATTTAAGTTTAATTTTGTTTTCGAGAAGAAAACGAATAACGTTATTCACACGAAACGATCTCCTTTTGAAATAATATTGACGATACGAGAAATGAATGAGCACGTAAACGTGCTCACTAAATTTCGATTTACCATCAAACGAGAAAAATTATTTCAACTCTAACCGTTTCCCCGGATATGTTCGATTATTCGATGGAAAAACGTACAGGATTTCGGGCGCGCCGAACGTAACAGAATACGCGCTATGCTGTAACGAGATCTAGAGAGTACTTGGAGCTCGTAACGTTCGTAACGGACATCAAACGTTTACGGCTGGTGTCTCGTGATTCGCAGAATACCTTTTATTTTTTCCCATTTTTTTTTCTTTTGTCTCTTTCCCTCTGTCTGTCTATCTCTCTCTCTCTCTCTCTCTCTCTTTACCTCACTCTGACTCTCTGATTCTCTGTTCCTCTTTCTCCCATTCACTCTTTAATTATTCTATGACATTAAACAAACAATTCTTGTATGTTTATATATTTATCAATTTTACCGTGAAAACGGTCCTAAGGTTTTCTATGAAATGTAATAAATCTATTGTTTCCAATTGTGAGAAAATCGATTTTGCTATGTATTTATCAACTTCGGATAAATTCATTTATAATATTAAATAATCAAATAAAATATAAATGATTTTATCATTTTACACACGTAAAATGTAGTTGGTATGACGTGAATTTAATATATGTATGTATATATAGTTGTTTAGCGATAAACGACCGAGCAAACGATGCTCGTTCTTCCCGGAACTTATCTCTTATATAAATAGAAGCTGAAAGATTTGTTCGATGAAATTTTAATTATCTAAACTATTTCTAGTTTTAAATATTTTCTATTATTTTAAATATTTAAACGATGAATTATAAAATAGGATCGATTGACAATTAGTTATTTGAAAATTTTCATTCTTAAATTAAATGATACATATATCATGTGTTATGTATATACATATAATATACGTATGTTTAATTTAACAAATTGTAAAATAAGTATATGTAGTCACGTTATAAGATTCATTCTCTGTATTTATATATATATATATATATATATATATATATATATATATATATATAATATATATTGTAGCATTTATCCAATATTTTCGTAATAATCTTATGAGTCTCTCTATCTATTCATCCATCCATCCGTCTATCTATTTATCTGTCTATATATCTATCTATTTATTTACCTTTATTTTTTTTCCTCTTTTAGCACGTTCCGACTGAGAATTAATAAAGCTCGCTCATGGCTCGGCCAGTTCACGACGCGACGTCGTTCGCCAGAAGAAAATCAATACCCGATAGGAGCGTTCCCGAAGGTCCGCTTATACTCGTCGTGCTATCTCGCTTTTATCTCGATCGTATCTTACATATTGGCGTGCGTCGCGAACGTTTCCATCGCTCTCGAGCATTGGCGAACGAGCGTTTACACACGATGAAGCGTTGCAGTAACCGCCCACACCCTTCTACCATGTCGTAGTTTGCTCGCTTGTTCGCGCGCCTTCTCAGGGTGACAGATGGCCGACCAGTAGACAAAGAACTTGGTCGACTGCTTTTCGTGCTCGTTGCGTAACTCAATAACGAGGAACGCGAGTCAATCGTTTCTACTCGACATCGACGACGACGATGACGACGACGACAACGACGACGACGACGACGACGACAACGACGACGACGACGTCAATGTCGAAGGAACACCCTCGTAGAGGTATCGAAAGGACGATGGGGTTGAAAATCAAATCCCGTTGCTTCAATGGAAATCTTCCTGCGGACAAGATTTCATCTTTCTATTTCCATCTCTCTTTCTCTCTCTCTTTCTCTTGTTCTTTTACTCTCCTTGTTCTCTATTTCTCCCTCCTTCTCTTGGCTAGTCTCCCCACCGTTTCCTAACTTTCCATCATCAATCAAATATTCCCTCTCCGATAGGAACGTCAAACCACGTCGAACACGATCGAAGGGTACTTGGTTAGTGTTCCACGATGATTAGACGATTAAGAGTTCCCCTCTAATCGTACGTTCGTGCCGGCTCTTGGATATAGAATTAGCTTTACTACCAGTACAACGAGATATTTGCTTCGTGTTTGATTCAAACGTATAAGACCTTTTATTTCTTTTATCATACGTTATATCGATTAGAAATGAATCTACAGTGAATCGTTTACGTGATCTGATTGAAAACTGATTGATTGTAATGCATTTTTATACAGATCGCACTTTGAATCATTTTAATTGAAAAATTAATAATAAATGTGTTTGCAACTGGAGCATAATAATTTTGTTGGACCGCGATTAGAAGCATCATCTTAGAACGACGATCAAGGCAGAAATAGGCGTGATAGGCGCATGTGCGCGAAGAAGAAGAGGGCGGCGAATTGACGGATACACAATAGACACGTGCCAGAATCTAATCATCGTAGAAAACCTGGGGCTAGAGCTGTTTTTTTCTTTAAGCTTCACCATTCATCGTGTTAACTCACTGGAAATTCATTAAAATGGACTGCTATGAGCGCATGACTAACGTTTTTCTTTTTATCTTCTTTATATTCGATAACGCGTATTATTATAAAAATGTTCAAATATACGATTTAGTTTTTTAGAAAATCGTTGTGATATATCAAATCGTATTTTTATATGTCATTTCAGAACAAAAGAGATAGTATAGACGAATATATGTCGA